GAGAGGAAGGAAATTTGAGGGAGGGGGTAGGGAGGAAGGAAATTTGAGGAGGGGGGAGGGAGGAAGGAAGGAAGGAAATTTGAGGGGGAGAGAAGGAAGGAAATTTGAGGGGGAGAGAAGGAAGGAAATGAGAGGGAGGGGGAGAAGGAAGGAAATGAGAGGGAGGGGGGGAGACGGCAATGAGAGGGAGGGGGGGAGAAGGCAATGAGAGGGAGGGGGAGAAGAAGGCAATGAGAGGGAGGGGGAGAAGAAGGCAATGAGAGGGAGGGGGAGAAGAAGGCAATGAGATGGAGGGGGAGAAGAAGGAAATTGACGGGGGTAGGGGGAGAGATTGACATCCATCACACACACACACACACACAATGCACCCCTTGCACACAGAAAAACACACAATGCATTACACACAGACACACAGCAACACACAATGCACCCCTTACACACACTCAGTGCATCCCTTACAGACGCACACACTGCATCCCATACATACACAAACTCACCTTACAGCCCTTACACATACAAACACAGATTCACACAATGCATTCCTTACACACATCAGGACATCCCCCCACACACACTCCACCCCCTGTGAACAAACTCATTGGTGGAACATGAAGGTGGACCCTGGGACCCAGACCTTGAGCTGTGTAAAGGGCCCTCAAAAAAATGGAGCTGCTTCCCGTTCTCCCAGAACATTGATTTTTGTGACCACAGTTACAAACCGCCTCCAGAGAGCCTGTTCTACACCAGACCAGTGGAGCCAGACGGCAGCTATAGCCCATCATCATCCTCATCTGGTTGTAAGTAGGCAATCTAGTATATTATTCGTGGCACTAATCTCTAATTTACCTCACATTAAAGGGACGCTATAGTCCCCAGAACCACTGCAGCTTAATATAGTGGTTCTGGTGTCTATAGCCTGTCCCTGCAGGCCTTTTATTGTAAACACGGCAGCACTGTGTTAGTTAACATGGCAGATCATATGGGTGGGGCATTGTGATGTCACATGGGGGGCGGCAAACTTTACTTTTGCCTAGGGCGGCAAAAATCCTTGCACCGGCCCTGCAGACACTGCATCCCTGTGGGCGGACTCGTGGGGGGGGGAGGGGACAGGCGGACTCGGGTGCAGGCACCGGGGGGCCCAGAAATTGAGCTGTGTCAGGGGCCCCAAAATTTCTGATGGCAGCCCTGGTCCCTACTTTGTCTAATGTTTTAAAGAAAACTAGAGCAGGCAGGAAGAAATGAAGAATAGATCCTGACAGAGGGAGAGAAGAGGAATCAATTGGGGAAAGGTTAATTCAGCATGACAGTGCCGCTTTAACTCGTTCTATGTGGGATTTCAGTTACTTTGTGTACACAGCTGAAGTTTAGAAAAGGTGAGATTTTTTTTCTGACACAAAAGGTTTTGTATGTCTATATTTATATTTTTATTTAATAAAATATTTAAAAAGACAAAACTTTATTGCTTCCTAGACAAACCCTATTTTATATTGTATTCTCAATTATTTATATATTTTAAATAGAGAAACTCTTACTAAGTGTATATTTTAGCTAAGAAATCTGTACGGTTAGCCCTGCTAAATTCTATGCTTTAAGATGTTATAGTGGTAAATAAGGGAACCATTAGCGGTTACAAAAATATGAGCACTTTATCTCTTAGAGGAGCTCACTATCTGTATACTTATGTCAAAACCATTAAGGTAACAATATATTTCTAGAGCCGGCCTGCATTTTGGACCTGACCCGCTATTTTGGGAGCAATCTGTCTGATATGCAAATGGATCGATTATCTCTGTCATGGCACAACATGTAAACATGTAAAAACAACTGGCTTGAGAACTGAGCGGAGATGCACTGAACGGCAACCTCAGTATTCTCGTGCACCCTGTTTTTTTTATTTTCTCTTCACAATACATTTTTAAATACTGTGTTTCTTGAAATAAAGTTTTCTTTGTGGTTGTGTGAATGAATGTAGCTTCTAGCAATAAGTCAGTATTCAAACTATCAATAACCTAGCAACATAGAATGTGACGGCAGATACGAACCATTCGGCCCATCTAGTCTGCGCAACCTTCTAAATACTTTCATTAGTCCCTGGCCTTATCTTATAGCTAGGATAGCCTTATGCCTATCTCATGCATGTTTAAACTCCTTCACTGTGTTAACGTCTACCACTTCAGTTGGATGGCTATTACATGCATCCACTACCCTCTCAGTAAAGTAATACCACAAATCTCTCAAATTCACACTCCTAAATGCTGGCTTTAAGGTACCTCTTTCCTGATTGGGACATTTTTATTTATTAACCCCTTAACACCGGAGGGCGTACTATTACGTCCTATTTTAGGCGGTTCTAAACGCCGCTAGGCGTAATAGTACGCCCTCCGTTTTTTGGTTTTTTTTACTTACCCTGTCGCCGGCGATCCCATGCCGGGGATCACGGTTGGGTGGACTCCCAGGGAGCCCCCCGCGTCACGTCCGACCTCCTGCAGCCCCCCCGGCCATGTGAGAGTGAGGTCCTTGCGAGGACCTCACAATCACATGGGCGGGTTAGGTGGCTGCTGTATTGCCAGCAGGTAGTCCCCCTGCTGGCTGAATTCAAATAAAATAAATGTTAATAAAGTGTAAAAATGTGTGTGTATGTATATATATATATATATATATATATATATACACATATACATACACACACATACACTGTCTTGGTGTATTTTACTATTTATATATATATCAACTTACATGTAGACTGATACTGATTAAATATATATAATTATTGTTATATATA